TCGCCTCCTATCTGATCTGAGTATCAAATATTGACCGCTTTGTTTTTCCGACATTGCTTGAATTCTCTCAATTTTTCCAACGCTTTGACTTTTCTTTCAAGATATAAATCCAACATTTCTACTAAAATCATCAATGAAAGTTAGGTAGTACTGTTACCGCCCAAGCGATGGTATGTCAAAAGGACGGCTATATCTGGTGTACTATCTCCAGTGGTCTTCGGGCACGCCAGGATCTACCAACTTCAAAGCTTTGTCTATGTTGCTTCCCTTTGATGCAAGCCTCACATAATTGATTTGGAGGGTTGATCTCTGGTAGTCCTTTCACCATGCTTGTTTGACAACAGCTTCATCCAGAAAATCCAAGATGTCCATATCTTATGCCATAGCCATGAATCTCTTTGATCGCGGTCTTTATGCACATTACTTCTCCTGACTCGATATCAATTGTAAAGAGACGATTTCGAGTCATATCAGCTTGGGCTATCAATTCTCCTTCTTTATTTTTGATGGCGAGCGAGCGATTCTTCATCTGCACTTCATATCCTTTTTCCAGGAGTTGACCAAGACTGATGATATTGCTTTTCAAAGCAGGTACATAATAAAACATCTGAAATATATTTCTTTTCTCCATTTTTCTGAGTAATCATGACTTTGCCTTTTCCTTTTATTTCTGCGTGCGATCTCCGAACGTTACTCGTCCATGAACTGTTTCATCTAATTTCACAAACAGTTCCCTTTGACCACACATATGGTTACTGCACAATTATCAAGATACCAATATTTTTCTTGAATTCTTCATTTCCTTTATAAGTGAGGAATACGTGAGATTTTTCAATTTTTTCTTCTTCAGCTGCTGCTACGTTATTTCTTCTTCTTGTTTAGGAGCAGATCTACACTCATAACTATAATGACCATACTTATTGCAATTATAACATTGTACCTGGAATTTACTTCCTTGTTGATATCTGCCCTACCTCGGCCTCTGAATCCTCGTCCACGACCTGATGTTGGATTGCTTTCACTCATTTGATCGGTGCTATGTGATCGACCACCACGTCCACGAGTTCCTCGTCCTCCTCTATATCTTCCACGATAACCACCACGATTTCCTCGTTGTGTGTAGCTGTGCTAGCTTTTCCTTCGTTGACATTCATCTTGCTTTGTAGAGCTTGCTCCAAATTTTCAGAATCCTCATTTTGTTTCATTTTGCTCATGGGCTTGAAGTGAACCCACAAGCTCATCAATCGATATCTGAGATAAATCTTTTGATTCTTCGATTGCCACCACCACGTAATCGAATTTTCTTGTTAATGACCGCAAAATTTTTCCATCACTCTAACATCATCGAGTGATTCACCATTTCTTTCATTTATTTCGACCGTTTCACACGGCTAATATAATCATCGATGTTTTGTATTTTTCATTTTTAGCATCTCAAACTCAGCACGGAGAGTTTGTAAGCGTACCTTCTTTGCTTTTTCGACACCTTGTAGAGATTTTTGCAAAATCTCCCACGCTTGTTTTGCGGTCTTTGCATCAGAAATTTTTTCAAAGGTAGATTCGTCTACCTTGAAAAATAAAGAACAATGCTTTTTTATCTTTTCTCCGGGATTCCTTCAATACCTCTTTTCTCATTGGCCAAGGCTGCTTCTGCTGCTGCATTTTCAGGCTCGGTGTAACCATCCTCGATATCCAACAATCTTGGGACCCTAGTAACGCCTTCATTGGAATGCTCCAATTGCCATAATTTGTCTTTGTCAATCTCGGGATTTGAGGTTGAATCATGTTGGCCATCTTCTCCACCACGTTGAACTCGAACCAAGCTCTGAGGCCACTTGTTGGAAGCGTAGATGGGCTCACGATAATTTATAACACTCAGAAAATTTTATTTATACGAAACAAAATATGTTACAACGACACTCTCAATATTACAATACTGCAATACTAGCTGCTGCTAGTTTACAAACACCAATATTTAAAGCTTTGCTAAGCTTCACAATATCTCTCAAATTCTTTATTTTTTCACTCCTCAATCGTATTTCGCTCACTCACTTTTTATTCACGCTCACACTACTTCACACCAACTAAAGGCTAAGCACACATATATAGGTTGTAACCGACTTATTTGAGGACCTCTGGATGCTTCTCAACTTCTCTCCTTAATTCTTGCTTGACATGTTGCCGTGTGAATTCAAACAATAAAGAAAATCTTTGCCGACATATGTGTTGGTTTAGTGTACTGCCAAGCATTTCCACTTTGTTTTGTTTACTTGTGAATCTATCTTCATTTGCCACGTTGAACTTCTACACATTCCAAGAGTTTGACTTCTAACAAGAGGGGTAAAAAGCAGTTTATATAGAGAGACAGAGGGAGCGTTGACCGCCGAATATGTTACAGGAGTGTGAATTTAGCATTTCCGCCCCCGCGTGTTTTGAAATGGACGTGTTCTGCCGACGACTTTTATTGACATTATTATTATTATTTTATTATTATTATATTTTTACTTAAAAACTACTCACATTTTTAATATTACTTTTGGGTCAATATAACACAAAATTAGTGATTCATTTGTAATCTTTGAGAAGTTCAGAACTCAAAATGTGTTTTCTTTTATGACTTTTTCACTGTTTAAGTAAGTGATTCATAGGCAACGTATGAAATTAAGAAACTCATTTGTAATATTATTAATAATTGGTGACTCTTTCAATCTTATTAATAATTGAATCACTTATGATATATTTACTCATAAGAAAATCATTAGAAAATATTTTTAATAACGTTTTTCGAGTGACCGTTTTATTCTCATGTATAGTGATATATTTCCACCAACCGATTAATTAGATGGTTTATTTATAATTTTATAAAAATTAACGATTTATTTATATCTTACTAATAATTGTATAATTATGAAAATGATTTTTCAACGGTTTTCAACGGGTAATGTAATATTTTTTTCTCTTGTATGTATTTTAAATAATTTTATCATTTATATATAAATCAAATGTCCTTAATAATTAAAATGGTGATTGTTATCACTAAAGATTCACCGGTATCAGTAGGATTTTTTAGCATTAATTATCAAATGATTAGAAGTATTTTAGTGATTAAAGCCCCTATGAACCGACATCGATCGATGGCGAATCGAAGTTTTATTCCCACAAATTTTAAGATGAAAATCTTAATCCCATATGATTCCGACGGTCAATCGACGACAACTACTGTGACAATACTAGTAGGATAGAAACTACATCACATGGCGGTCGTGGCTGGAAAGGGAAGCAACGGGTTAAGCCTAGGATTTAGGGATTTTTGGATTGCAATATGACACCGTGTGCCAATGTTGTTTATTGATACATGCTTATTGTGTGAATTGTATGATAAGTGAGGTTAAGTGAAAATAATATATGAATAAGAATGCTATAACATAGATCATAAATTGGGATGATACTTATTGTATTTCCAAACTTATAATTTTTCTCTTTATACTGTTAGCATTCTTACTATTATAAATTGCAAGTGGTATAATAAAGTAGAAGTGTACCACTAAACTACTATACTCAACAATCCATTATTTGTATTAATCGATTAGTTCTTGTTCTATCAATCACAAATTAGAGCTACTCGGAGGAATATTGTCACCAACAACTGCATCAGCACCTTCATGTCCGAAATTAGCCAAAGCTACGACACTTTGTGGAGGAGATTGGTCATCAAAACGCTTTACCATTCACTAATTTTAGACCAAACCGAACTGTCATGCACGGCGTGGGCGGCGTTCCAATGCGATTGCAGAAATTCAGTGAAGCAAATGATGAGTGAACACACTGAAAACAACCGCAGTAATAGAAGAGACCCCCGAAGCTGTAGAACCCGAGACTATCGGAAAATCGTAGTTCGTTCACCGCTGATTTGACAAGGTTTTTGTTTTGAAAGTATATTTGTTCCAAATCGTAGACCCCCAACTGTTTCACAATCAATTCAGATATAAAACCCACTAGCAGGTCATTTATCAGAACCCAAAAATCAACCATTCAACGGGATAGTTGGAGGATCCTCTCCATTAACAAACCAATGAAGGATCAATAAATGAGTTGAAATACCATGGTCCCTCGGTAACAATCCTGATGACGTCCACTTTGTCATAGACTCTAAAGATAGCGCCCTTCCCCATATCCGTTATCGAAATACCACAAATGGGGCGCCACACATTATCCATCATAGCCCGCATCGCCCGAAATTATATTCCATGAGTGAGAAACCTTCCAACCAAACAGTTATCGAAAGAGATCAAAGGTTGTACGCTAAAGTTTTCGATCTCAATCGTCACCTCCTCCTCGCCGAGGTTTAAGTGAAACTAATATGAACGTGAGTGCTGTCACGTAGATCATAAATTCATGATGACTAGTATGATACTTGTTGATGACATTGTATGCTTAAACTTATATTTCTCTTCTTATACTGCCTAGCATGTTTTCGTTTACAAATTGTAAGTAGATGTGTACTAAACTTTATAAAGCTCAACGTTCGAATGTTTTCATTCACAAATTAATTATATGAACTTGTTTGAGGAGTATCGCCGGAACAAAATTTTCAACATCACTTCATTAGAGTACAATACTATTTACTGTACCGTCATAAGTTCAAGTTTTTGTATAAATATTTTACAATTGTTATGAATGTCTTACTTTAATATATCGAAATTATGACTTGAAGTTAAACCGAAAAGATTTTAAATTTGGTGATTGTTTGGAAAACTCAATATAACATCATAATCCATCTTAAAATAGATCAAATTTAAAACGATACATTCTCTCTTCCCTTCAAAGAACCTAAAAATATAGAACTAGACAAGATTATCTAAATTACTATACATAACAATCCATTATTTGTGTTAATCAATTAGCAAATACTAATTATATGTACGTCACAAATTAGAGCTACTCGGGAATATTGTCACCAACAACAGCGTCAGCACCTTCATGTCCGTCACTAGCCAAAGCTACGACACTTTGTGGAGGAGATTGGCCATCAAATACTTTACCAATTCACTAATTCTAGACCAAACCGAACTGTCATGCACGGTGTGGGCTGCGTTCCAAGGCGATTGCAGAAATTCAGTGAAGTAAATGATGAGTGAACACACTGAAGCAACCGCCGTAATGATGAAGAGACCCCCGAAGCTGTACAAGCCGAGACTATCGGACGAAATTGTAGTTCGTTCGCTGCCGATTTGACAAGGTTTTAGTTGTGAAAAGTATTTTTGTTCCAAAGCATCCATTTTTAATTTGTTTTCAGTCACACTCAAGATTGCCCTGGATATGTAGGCCACTAGAGGAGATCCTTGTGGGAAGGCCTAGGCAAAGAAAAACCAAGTTTTTCATTTGTTAAATGAAAATCAAGTATGATTAACAATTGTAACTTTCTAATCACATATTCAAGAGTAGGGTCGGAAGTGACTAACGAAACCAAGTCCGTCGGTTTTGTAGGTCGGTCCGGCTGTCATATATTTGTTGCAGTACTTGGCAAGAAAAAGCTCGACACAGTGCTGTGTTCCGAAAATCGCACCGACACCACCATTTTGGCTTCCCTTTGATAATGCTTCGTCAAACTCCTCTGCAGTACCATAGTTCTTCAACTTAGACTCATCTAAGTCCAATTGCTTTACCAAAAGGTCTTTCACAAATGAACCGGTCTCGTATCCTACAAAATCGCCATTCTTTTTTAGCTCATTGACGTCTACTACTGTCGGTTGCAGTCGTTGCACGGTTAGCATCGAGGCCAGACTTGCAGTGTAACTTTGGGTGAGGATGAGTACCACGAATATCCATATAATCAACACGACTCTTGACAGATTGCTTATGATCTTCTCCCCTGAAACCAGACAAATGACGTTGCTTGACAAAGAAGAAACTTCAATTTATTCACAATTAGATGGAAGAGACATCACTTACTATGAGCAAACACTAGAGTTGAAAAGGAGAACCAAAAAGCCGTTCCGACTTGTTGCCGTGCCGAACCCCCAAACTCGTTGTTGATTCGGTGTTCCAAAACCCACACTACTAAGCCTGTGCAGATGAATGCTACCCCTGTTGTTAACCAAAGATCCCAACTCAGAGGCTTTAAGAATATCCACATATTCTTTCTCCCATCATCTTTTATTTTCACAACCATGGACACATGTGATTGCAAGTAAGGCAATGTAAAATCTACGTATCGAGATCGATTTGCCAGAATTGTTATATCTCCCACTGCAGCATCAAATTTCTACACCACCACAAAGAGTAGGCTATCAGTTAGTGCGAAATAAATGGAAAAATAGGTCGAGATTCGGGTTAAATATTAGGCCAGGCACCTGAAGTTTGACGTCGTATAGAAGCTCGTTGTATGTTCCTGAACCTGTGTCATTACCAATGGGAAAAGGTATCGGCTCAAGCGGGACTGCAAAAGGTAAAAGCGCTAATGCCTCCTTGAACACATCATAAGAGAACCCCGTTACGATGAACTCATCAGTGTAAGGGTCGCGATTCACTTTCAAATATGCATCAAAGCCAGGTTTCACAGGGACCCCAATCCTTAATTTCTTACCAACAACCGGTATCGTCCAACCTCTGGGCTTAGCTTTCGTGTTTCCCGGCCAGATAGGTGGTTTAAGTTCATGATATGAGGTCGAATATGTTGCCTTCACAGGTTTGCCTAGTTCTGCTGTCAATCCATTCTCAACGGTCCAATACCCTATAACTTTTTCCATTTTATCTACCACGTTGATGATTTCAAAAGCTGAAGACTGCAACTGTCCCCTAACCAAACTGAAATCTCCACTGAGACCTTTAAATTTCTTTTTCACTATCTCATTTCGGATCGACCGACCTATTGCAGAAACTCTTATTTCAGGAATCTGACTTGCATTTCTCCGGTTACTTCGTCTCGTAACACCGGAACTCTTATGTGGAACCATTTCGACAGACTTAGCTAGTGCCCAAACGGTATCATATGCCCAATACCCATAAATGTTTAGTTTGGTCGAACTAGAGTGAATCCCACGTTTCCATTTCTTTTTAAACTTCTCCAGGCGTTTAGACTGTGGTATGTATGGCCTTATTCCCAACACACCTTGCATCGAACCGATGATTTCGGCTCCCATCGGATCCAACAAACTCGATAGTCCATCTGTAATGATCCAAACATATCCTTCACTAATCATGGTTGCTTCTTTTGCAAGGAAAAAGAGTTTGGACCCTAACGAAGATGTCATATGTACCACAATAACTCTCGTCTGCATCGCCATTACGTTGTTGAGCATCTTTAAGATGGTCAAGTTACTGTAGTTTGTGGAGACGGAAAACCTCGAACTCACACGTATGTCGAACCGTTGAAACTCGTCTGACAGGTAGGGGATTAAACCGCTTCCGTATTCGGTGTTTTCGTAGAGGAGGACTACTTCGTGCCATTCATACGCATGAATGATGGCGGCGATGGCTTTCGCTTGCGAGCTATCGTCTAAGGCTGTTCGAACGAAGAAAGGGTTCTGGGTTGTGGAGTGAGGGACTCGTTGCTGAAGATGAAATGATGGGAACTTGAGCCTTTTGGCCGATATCCATTACAACTCTAGCTTGCATTGACGTTTGGGGACCGATTATGGCATTAACTTCCTCCTTATTAATCAACTCTAGTGCTGCAATTTGGATATGGTATAGATGATCAATAGGAAAATTAATTATACTACAATTATTTACCTTTTATAAATAATTAAATGATTGTCTAATTATTTTTAAAATAAAATAATTGTTAATATAAATATGAGAATAAATTTATTATAATTGTTTACTCTAAATATTGCTTTTAAATTATTTGTAAGTCAACGTTTAGATACAATACTTCAAAGTTATAAAATTCTTTTTAATATCATCAGTCAAAATTAACCTATTAACTGATTATTTAGGCAGAGTATTATATATGTCTAAGGGTGACGTTTTCAACTAAACTTGTTCATTAATAACGCCAGATAGAGCCATTAGACATTTTCGAAATCATAAGTGAAAACTCAAAAATAAATATTATAGAACGAAAGCATATTCTATTACATTGAATAATTAATTTTATTTTTTAATAAATTATAAAATATAATTAAACTTTGTCAAACTTATTATTTTCATTGTTTAGTTCAAAAATACTTTAAATACAACTTAAGTAATAAAATGTAATCAATATTATCAAAACACATCATTTTCTTTATTTTGTGAAGATATAAGAGATATAACCGATATTCTAATGATCTAAGAAACTAAAAATATCAAATATATAAAAACGAACTAAAGGGTGAAGGTATATGCCAAGAGTTGTCTACCACGTCGTTATTATTCATGGTTCTAATCAATAAAATTTATCTTTTTTATTTTCTTTTCATATAATTTTTTAAACATAAAACTTCATTTTTTTTCTGTGAATATAGAAGTGGATAATTCTTTTAACAATTTCTATATATAGGCCTGTAACGAACTGAACGTTCAGCGAACTGTTCGTGAACTATTCAGCGGAAAGTTTATTTATATTCATTTATTCATTAAAGAACGAACATAAACAATATTATGTTCATTTAATTAAACGAACGAACATGAACAAATGGCTCGTTTGTTTGTTTACATTCGTGAACGTTCGATTATTTATTCGTTTATGTTCATTCATTTATGTTCGTTCGTTTATGTTTGTTCGTTTATATTCAACTCAATCTCTTGACTTGTTTCAAATATTAAGACCGAATAAATTTTAACCTTAAACAATTAATATTTTAAAATCCAATTAATTTTAAACCCAAATAAAAATACTCAACTCAATTAAAGAAAATAAAAATCCTAAAATTATTTGGAAAGAAAAAAAAAACTCTTCTCAAATAGAAACTCAATTAATTTTATGTTTGTTCCTTTATGTTTGTTTACGTTTTATTTATGTTCGTTTGTTTGTATTCATTTACGTTCATTTATCATTCTAACGAACTAGCATTAACGAACACGAAATATCCGAATGAATACGAACAATAAATTATGTTTGTTTAATTGTTCATGTTCGTTCGTTTGTTCGGTTAAAGTTAAACGGACGAATATGAACATACTATTGTTCGTATTCGTTCGGTTCATTATAGGCCTGTCTATCTAGTGGAAGAGGGAGAGGAATTTACTCATAATAATATTGAATCCATAATTTAAAAGAGAGGAGAAGTATCAAGAGAGAGATCTTATTTATTTGCTCTAGATATTGTTGACTATGAAAATGGATAATTGAACGTTAATTATGAATAAATTAGGGGTGATTCTACGGGGCAACAATCTATTATAAGTTAAGTAAAGACACAATCTAAAATGTTATAAATAATATAACATTTTAGGTTACCGTAACATAAAGATTAATTTTTTCTTAATTTTTTTCGGATACGAATATTCTTTGTAACATTTTAGGTTCCCCGAAAATGTTACATTTTTCATAATATTTTAGATTGAATTGAAATGTTAAAAAGTTAACATTTTAGGTAGTTTCATTTCTTTAGTCTTATATAGACTGCTGTACCGAAGAACTCCCCATAAATTAGTGATATGATAAAAATATAAAATAAATCATTTTTATCGACGAATACTATGAATAACACTATGAACATGGTTCATGAAATAGTTTCCAAAATAAAAGAAAAACCTGTAAAGCAGCAGCAAGAACATCATCGGAGCTCCTAACGTGCAGAGACAATCTGGTCCTGAAAGGATGAGCAGCATAGAAGTCTGAGATGGCCATGGGAATGCATGCGTTCGCCACTGATCCAACCAGTGAATTTAGATCAAGAATTACACCCACATCCACCTTCTTCTTCGTTTCTCCAAATTCATCCATCCTCCCCCCACCACTCAAACAAAGAACAAACAAACACACAACACAAAATATTTTTGACATGGGCCCTTCCTCCTCCACTTTGGGACAGCTTTATTCTTCTTCACTTGTTCATGGACTTCATGAATATGCCTATGTATAAATACACAAAGGGGCTTTGTCGACTATAAGAATATAAAATTAAAAAATATAACAGGAAATTTCGCATAAACTATTATACTTAAGAAGTCGAAATCTTGTTTTGTTTGTATTCTTTTTCTCGCTTTTGTTTGATTGTTAAAAGTTTAAAATAACATAGAAAAGGTCGTCTCTTTGCAGCGGTCAAGAAGGGTGCTGGATACTTCGCAGAAGAACATCATATATATTGGCTTACATGTCGATTACTTTGCTTCCCAGTTTGCCTTATGACATCGAATTCATCAGAGAGAACAAGTAAAAATGTTAAGAGTTTGTGCGAAGACTTTTTGGTCGGTTATATTGTTAAATCTCGAAAGAAACATTGGATTTATATTTTAGGGTTAACTACACAGATGATCACTTATCTTTGTATTTTGTCCACTTTTAGTCACTGATTTCAAAAAAATAAGATATAATCACTTTCGTTTTTATTTAATTAAGATATGGTCATCCCGAGTTAACTGCCGTTAACAACAGTTAAATATTTTGATATAATCACACATTTGGTCCCTGCTATTTATATATTTTATCAATTTAGTCATACTTTTAATAAATGAAAAATAAATTATTTTAAATGAAAATAAAATACAATATTTTAAATTAAGTTAATAATAAAATATTTAATAAGTTAATATAAAAGTATTTTTAAATTAATATATATATAATTATGTTATATATAATATAAGTCAAGGGTACCCGGTTCATAATTTTTTTTATTTTTCTTTAAATTATATTATTTTAAAATTATATAGGAAAATTCTAAAATTCTAAAATTTAAAAGTCTGTAATATATAATCCACACATAAATTTTAAAAATTCAAATACATATTGAAAATAAAATTTATTAAAAATTAAAATAAAGGTACAATTAAATTTCAAATGTTTTGAAGTTAAATAAATTTTTAAAAAATAATTTAGAATGTTAATGTGAAATAATCCACACAAAATTTTAAAAATTCAAATTATATATTGAAAATAAATTTTAAAAAAAAAATAAGTATACATTAATTTTTAAATGTTTTGAAGTTAAATAAATATTTTAAAAAATAATTTAGAACATTAATGTGAAATAATTTAAGAAATTAAGAATTTAGAAGGTTTTGGTGTCAAATTTAAGAAATTGGGATTTTAGAATGTTACAGTGAAATCATTTGAGAATTATGAATACAAAATTTAATATAAAATAAAATTGGAAAATAATATATATTATATATATAATAAATCGGGTACGAGTAAGTAGGTACCCGATTAACCAACTTTTGTCTCTAGACTGACCTAGAATCCGAAAAAAAAGTGAGTCGGGTACCTGACCCGAAAATCAGATATTTTTATTATAAATACCGGTATTTTTTAACTGGGTCGACGAGTCTGGTCAATCGGGTCGAGTATATTTGAATACCCCTACATGACATGACATGTGGTATCATTCGATTGGAGGATTAAATTTATTTTATTTTATTAAAAGTATAACAATTGAAAGAATATGTAAATAATAGGGACTAAATGTATGATTATATAAAAATATTTAACTGTGTTAACGATAGTTAACTTAGGGTACCACATCTTAATTAAATAAAAACAAAATAATCATATCTTATGTTTTTTGAAATCAGTGACCAAAAGTGGACAAAACACACATAAGTGAATATCCATATAGTTAACCCCAAATTTTATTCATGTGACAGATCTTCAAGTTTGAAATTAAATTATAAATTTTGAAAATTATTATATTATAATTTTAGAAATAATTTTTCAAAATCTCTTATCATTAGAGTCTTCGAGTAGGAACCACTGGCTTGTGTATTTATAGTGTTCATTCTTTCCTCTTTTATTAAGTGATAGAGAACAAGGGCAATCTCGCGCGCTATCGTCGTTCTGTCCTCGTGGATGAGGCTTATGGAATATGTATCTTCGACATGTCCACGCAGATACTATCATTTTAAAGAAAAATTGTAAGGATTTTTCTTGAGTATAAGTTGTGAAAGAATTTTTATTCTGATATTTATAGGATGCGTTATGTCCTGGTTCGATTTAAATTTCAGAGGGTTACAACTGAGATTAATTAACTGTCTTTTGATTTCTGAAATTTAAAACCTGAATAGTCAGTTTCCGAAATTTTGTCTGTGAAATGTTTGATTTATTTGGACAAGTTTTCATCTTTGTTCAGTGTTTATTCTGCCAGTTACAAAATAATTACTAGAGTCACAAATGTAATTACTTGAGTTACAAACGGATGGAAAGTAAATCACAAATCTGGACTATTTTGGAGCCATATTCATCCATTTATGACAACAATTTTAGTTTTAATTCAAAAATGAATCATATTATATATGATTTTTGTTGGATATTTTTATCCCTGAAGCTAAACCTATAAATAGAGAGGTGTCATAAGCTTCTCAACTCACTCTTAACTCTTACGTATTCTCTCAGTCTAAAGCATTTCTTGCTTTCTTTCTTTGCTATCAAAATAGCATTACCACTGGCAGTTTACTCTGGTTTCGGGTGTACAAATTCTCGAGCGACCGTATTAATCTCGTGGGACGATCTTCCTATTGCAGCGATTACACACATCGGAGCGAATTTGTTTCTAAGACATTGACTTTCACCACGACACGATTCTGTTGTTCAATTGCTGTTTATTTTTTATTTATCTTGTCAGTGGTAATGGTGTGATTTTTGCAGTATACATTTCCAGCAAAAATGAATGAGGAATGTTCTTGCAAATGAAGGATCTTTATGGGTGGTATGGATCTACACTTATATGTTTAAGGGTGTAGATTTTTGACAAGTCAATTGTAGGCCCCATTTCAATTAGAATTTAAAGAAGATCTTAAGATTGAGTGATGAGGCTAGGTCTTTGTTCACTGGCGGTCTGGTTGGGGCAAGATAACGACGAGGTGGCTTGGGGGAGACTAAGGATAAGAAGGGTAAGATTGAGTGGCAAAAGGTTGTTTGGTTCTCCATGAATGTCCCTAAGCACTCTACCATTGTTTGGATGGTAGTGCTTGATAGGCATCCTACTGCTGATAAGCTTAAGATGGGAATGAATATGGATGCAGATTATGGGAAATGTGATAGGTTGGGTAGAGTCTCAGTATCATGTGTTTTTTTTAATGCCCTTTTTATAGAGAGGTTTGGGAGGCTGTGTTTGAGGTTGTGTGAAATTTGTTGGGGTGGGAAGCTGGAATGAGCTTGATTGGGCTGTCTCTCGGTTCAAGGGTAAATCTCTCCTGGTGTATGTGCTGAGAGTGGCTTGGTGTTATTTTTTTTATTGCATTTGGGAAGAAATAAATTATAGATAGTTTAGGGATGTTAAGAGGAATGTGAGTGAGATTGTAGATACTATCAAAGGGATTATTCGTATTAAGGAGTATAGGAAGAATATTATGTGATACTGTAAATCAGAGCCTATGTGTTGCTTGGGGATTATAAATTTTTTCTCTTTGAGGGGGTGTTATATTTATTTTTTTGTAGCAGGATTAGTCTGCTTCTTGGATAATAAGAGCTTTGATTTATCCAAAAAAAATATTTATATGTGTCGATGTTGAGGAGGTTAATTTGAAATCGATTTATGAGAAAGAATCATTGAAGATCCTTGCTAAAGGGGTTAAAGAACTTCAAAAAGAAAAAAAAAGATTCTACTTATAATTTTTTATGGTGAAACCATGAAGCTGAGGAGATTAGATGAGGGATGGAAGAGTTTATACGACTTCATTTGTTTTTCAATTTAAATAAATTTGAGAATAATTTTTTTAAAGTGGAGAAAGTTTTAACTCCTTGAATTTTTTAATCAATTGCATTTAAATGGATCCGACACTTTTACGGATAGAACAATTATAGATATATGTGTGGCTTTTTTACCTTATTACGTGTTGTATTATCTATGTATATTTAGCATGATACTATGTGAAACCAGACAATCTTTTCTTAAAGTTGATTGTGAGAATTATTATTGATGCTATGTGAGACCAAGCAATGCATTATACTTTTGTGACGATAATTATTAGCGAGACCATGTGAAAATGAGATTTCTTATCTTGACTACCTATTGCTATATGACATCGAGTGCCAATGTTGTTTACTTTTATCAAAACATTAACCGACCCTTTATTGAATAAAGTTAACAAAATAAACAAAACACAAGTCTGAAGAAGTCTAAACGAGTATACAGTTAAGTAAAACACACAAATAAAACAAACACCACTACCAAAAAGAAAGCCTGCTAATCGTCTTCTTCACAACCCAACTATAACCCATGAAAGCTTCAAGTGGCGAAGACCAACAGAGCAAAATAGAACCTATTCACATTCCAACTAGACGGAGATAGAGAACCCTACGATGGTTCCAACTTGCGTATATCCTCAGTAGCTTGCTCTTCCACTTTCGAGGAGCCTCCTCGATTTAGAGTCGGTCTTCTTCATCGTGATTATACATCGTTGCCAACAAGTGTTTCTTTATTACCCCGACCAGAGAATATGCCGAAAGGTACATGCATGTAATCCCCTCGCTTTGTCTTTTACTTCCCATTTAGCCCATTGATCTTAAAGTAATCAGTATTCTCTGAGGATAACTTTATGATCACAACTTTCGAATCCCGCTCAATAACTATATCTCTGAAGCCCAAATCAACAACAAGATCTATGAAGTGAATGACCGCCATTACTTCAGCTACAAATGCCGAGGTAATCTGACTCATTTTCCCCCATAATGTTACCCGCAACATCATGGATTAAATGCCTGACCAGGCTGTATTCTTTACTTCTTTTAAACATGCATCGAAGTTTATTTTGAAAGACGAGGGAGACAGTGCACTCCACTGAGCAATA